CACAGATCCTTAAGCCCACTCCTCCAAAAAGAACTGCTTGCATTTTACAAAGTCTGTTTTAAGACAACGTGCATTTCTTCGGTTTCCCATTTTCTGCTCTTGGGATTCAAATGCCTTTCTGTGGTTGCTACATGATAGAATAAGCCTTTGCTACACCTGTCTAGCCTGTGTCCTTTACAGATCTCTGATCACAGAAACTCTTCAACTGACACAAGTATGTTGCCCAGTATTCCTTGTCCTCAAGAGAGTACACCAACGTTTGCGCTGTACAACATGGAGATCTGTAAGAGCTGTCCAAAATAAAGAATTCAAATAAATTCCTAAGCACCTCGGTGGATCTACGAGTTCTTTACTCCAATGCATCTGAACTGCAACAATCAATCTCCGAAAGAAAGAAATCCTTTATTATGCCTCCTACTAACTTGCATCTTTTTAAAGGAGTGACACTCTCTCTAGTTCTCAGATCCTTCTCATCCTCTTTCCACTTCTAATCCATTGAGAAAGGAATCCACATGCAATTACCATTTCTGAGATCTTAGTCCAAGTTAGAAGTCTATTCAAAGAGTGAGACTGTAGGCACAAGTTTGCTTCTGTAGCATTTTATTCAGTGGATTTTCTTACCAAACGCCTTTCTGAGAAATGAATAATAAATTTCAAACATTACCTAACTAGAGCCTGAGGCATAAGTAGTACCTGATCATACCATCAGGTCCACATCACCACATGGCAGCCTTAGCAGCATGCTGACCAGGCTGTTTTGGAAAAGACAGTGTGTGGAGGGAAATGTTAGCATATCCCAGCTTCAGGAAGACAGACAAAGAAGGTGCAGTCACTGAGCAGTCTCTGCAGTCCCTGAGCAACCAGGCAAAGGGAGCCCTTGATCTGTACAGGACTGAGCTAAACTGCTCCTTTCCCTCCCCTACTCCATTGCCAACATGAAATCCCTGCCCATTTCAGTGCTTCATGCCACTCTTGTCATTGCAGTATCTATACCAGAAGATGGAAGAAAATCTTACACAAAATAGTTCTCAGTCTGCCATGGATTTGTACTCTTAATGGAAATGCCTTGCAGGGCCTTTATGGGCAGCTCTTCCAACTGCATTTTATTGTACAGTGAATTTTTAAACACAATCTCAGCGTATTGCCATTCCTGGAATGGAAAAATATAAGCTTGGACACAACACTGGTACTTCCAGACCAACATAATATGCTCTGCCAAGCACTGACTTCCATATATCACTAGACATACTCTAATAAAATAGTTGATTACTCAGCTAAGCTCAGCAATATCTCAGAAGGCAAGTCTTGTATTTAGCTTTTAGAGTGCAAAGTCTAGGGGCTCATTTGATTTGCACATGTAAATCTCTACATTAAAAAAATAGTCAGCAACAAATCCATAGCACAAGCAAATCCTTTCTTCATTATTGTGCAAAAATCTGTGTACCATTTATAGTAAATGCCATAATTCTGGATAGACAGGACCCCAGAGCACAGAAATTCACCTGCAAAACTGAATGGTTTCTGGGGACAAGTCCAGTGGTCTCTGTTTTTCACATACAAAGTCATACAAGTTTGGCAGGTGCACACAACATACATTTGGAAAACTGGTCTGTCACCACTTTCATGCTCAGCTACAAGTTGCAAGCCATCAGGGAATGAATAGTGATGGTGTAAGTCGCACTTATGCAGCATTATTTTGCAATTCTTAACCAATAATGGACTTGGCCCAAAACACAAAGCATCTGTGGAGAAACTATTTTTAGTACCAAGATACCTAATAAAGGTCAACACTGAAGCCAGTTCAAGTCCTGCAACTAAAGCATTGCATTTTCAATATACTAACCTGCAACCATAACCTCAGTTTCACCACTCACAGAAACCAGAACAAACAGGTTATAAAACTTTTTTTTTTAATGAAGCAGTCCCAGAAGCAGACAGCCAGACCAACATCACCTGCAGCACCTGACCTGAGTACGTTAGCCTGGCAGGTTCTGGTGCCAAACAAATCCTGTTTAAGTCTCTCTGGTCCTATTAAAGTTTTCTACCTTGATAACCTTTACCATTCAGGTAAAGGGTCTTTTATCCCTAGAGTCTGCATCATGTGGAAGTAACCTTTCTAAAGCTAAACTCTGTGTCATATAACTGAGGTCTGCATTAAAAATAGTCTCCTCCTAAGTCACACTCCCAACACCATTGTATTGCTTGGCATCCAAATTTCAAAACTAGAAATGTACCAGTAAAGACAAGATCCACTAGAAAAAGAACACAAACAAACCTGTCTCGTTATTTCCCAACCTCATCTCCTAAACTCTGTTGCCATGCCAAGACAGGCTTATAGCTGACTTAACTTGCAAGTACTTGAGAGACTGAGTACATGTTTAGTTTTAAATAAAGGGAATCTTTCTGTAAGTATCCACTTACTGATGAATCTTAGCATAATAGCAAACATTATTTAAATGGAAAACAGTGAGCAGGCACTACATTTATGCAGTCTAACAAAGAGACATGCAAGTCTTCTTACAGACTTTCAGTGCACCACATTGCAAGCACCCTCTACTTATTTCTGCTCTTCCCAGAAATGAAGTGCACTGCTCCTTAGAAATAGAGCTCTGAATCAGAATAACAATGAAACACTGACATTGGTTAGCTCTTCCAGGATTAAAAATTCAATGGCTATTTCTGACAATCTGGAAGACATTAGATCATTACAGAATGTAAATGTCATTTCATTGAGAAGTTATTGTAGATCTTCCATAGAAGTTGAAGTGAGCAATTCCCAACCCCCTCCCAACCTGCCCTCAGACAGGGTTATTAACTGTCTGCATAGGTGATTAAATTTCAGCCTGAGAGCTACATCTCTAAGCCTAGAAGTAATTCAAGCAGATTCAAGCAAAGCATCTTGCATTAAATTGCTATTGTCTTTAATCACTACACTCATCATACATCTTCAACTTTATTCTGATAGTATATTAATAGCTTGACCTTTTCACTACCATCATCTGTGCTGACTCTGGATAGAGTTGATGCATAATAGCAAAGAAGAACAGAAAATGACTTAAATATTTTGCCCTTGGCCTTCAAATCTAAAAGCATTTTGTTCTGTTATGCTAAAACACTTTTCCCCCTAAAAGTCACTTCAGAAACCAAACCATCTAGCAAGTTATTTTTATTCAGCTATATATGGTCTCCACCTTAATAGAGACCTTCTAAAGCATACATCCTTCTACTTTAGTTGGAAGCAATAACTATAACAAGGAAAAGAATTAATTATTTTTGTGCAACAAGCCTGTGATTTGAATACTGTGAAGAGCAGCAACAATTCCATTGGGCTTTGCTCCTATATACCACATCCTTTCTTATGAACAGAAGTAGTTCACCCGTATGTCAAAAGCACTCAGCCCAAACAGGCCTGGTGTTTGTGAGCAGTGAGAGTCAAACCAGAGGACAGATCCAGCAGGCCAGACACTAACTACGTTATCAGCCTGCACAGAATCATCAGTTCACACAAACAACTGTAAACACTTCCTGCCTCAGAAAACCCTCACAGCCTACAGGCTATGTGGCCAAACAAGTCATGAGACTGGAGAGGCAAGCCACACCAAGATGAAGACTAAGAACTGCTTATTTTTTATTATTCCTAACTGGAGTTTCCATTTGTATCTTTCCTTCCACAGCTCATGGATGTGAACAGTTAAGGAGGTTTAACTTGACACATGCACATTTTTTACGTGTCGTTCTAACAAATTTGCCAATAAATCACTTTTGAGATTAAAGGAGTTTCTTTAAACATTTGTATTATGTGTGTGCTAGATATTCTATCCAGGTTATTTATATTTTCACATCCACACCTCAAGGGCTGTCAAGCTCCTGTCTTCCTAGCTCCAGCATGCTCAGGAGTGAGACGTTGGCTCCTGGACATGCTAGCTGCAAAATTTATATTTGGCTTCAACAAATCTCACTTCAGAAGTCTCTAACAAAAGTGAATTAGACGACTGATGGGAAAAGTATGTGTGAACCTCAGTTTAGCCTTAACGTTTTGGTAAGAGTAAATACCCGAAGTGGAAGGGAGATAGGATCCATTGGGGATTAGGTTTACAACATCGTTATCTCCACAAGGAAGACAACATTTACCATTTCTTTGAACAATCTTGAAACGTCCTCCTGCTCATCTGTCCTCTACAGAAGAGAATTCATTCTGGCAACACTCGCTCTTTGCCCAGAGTAAGAGAAAAACAGATTTGATACGTACAAATCACGTACATACAAGCCCCCAGCGTTTTCGATTCTCGTCCTAATGATCTCCGAATTGCTCACTGAAATTTCCCGGCCAGTATCTACCCCGCTCTTGTAGATCGGGATAACGCAAAACCACGATCCAGAGGGGACCATACCCGCACCGGAGTCTCTCCTCCACACCGGCCGCCTCCGCACATCCCCCGCGCAGGTCCCGCTCCCTGTGCCCAGCACACCGCTCTGCTCCCGGACCCGCCGGGCTCCGGCGCTGGGCCAGCTCGCGTCTAACGGAGACCGACGCCCGCCCAGCCCGAGGAAGGCGCCTCGGAGCCCCGGTCCGCCCTGCCCGGGAAGGCTGCGGGGACAGCGGCTCCCGGTCCCCACAGCCGCGGGCGAACGAACCTCCTGGCATTCCCGGACCTGCCGCAGCCACTGGGGCCCCCACAGGGGAAAAGGACCCTTCCGTGCGGCAGCCACCGCCCGTCCCCAAAGGGCAGTCCCCTCCTATTCCCCTCGGGAGGGCACGGGGGACACCCTTTCTATAGGACATGGGGCACCCTTCACCATTCCCCGAGCCGAGGCACCACTGAGGCGCGGGGCAGCGGCAGGGTGGAGGCGGTGGACCGGGAATGTCATTTGGAGGTGGCGGTGACAGCGCTCCTCTGCCCAGCGCCGAAATGCGACTCGGAGCAGAAGGAGGATGCCGGGAGCGAGGGGACTGAGGCGACAGCAACCGCGCCGGGGACCCCGCGACCCCGGCCCCGCACCTCGCAGCCGTAGAGCTGCCCCAGCTGCTCCACGATCCACTCCTCCAGCACCAGCCGCTTCCGCAGCTCCTTCCGATCGTATTTCACCGTCACTTTCCCCTGCTGGTGGCGCCGCTGCTGGACCTGCACCACGGCCGCCGCTGCCGACACCGAGTCCTCCCGAGAGGAGCTGCCGGAGGAGCTGCCGCTCCCGCCGCCGCCGCGGGGGCTCTGGAAGAAAACGCGGTTCCCGCCGCCTCCGCCCGCTGCTGCCGCCGCCTCGCTGCCCCCGGTCGCCACCGACATGCTCCGCTCCGCCGCGGCTCCCGCCGAGCCGAAAGGCGCCCGCCGCCGCTACCGCCGGGCCGCAGCAGCCGCCGCTCACGCGTGTGCTCCGCTCCCCCGCACCTGCCGCTTAAAGCCTCGCAAGGCTCGGCGGCGCAGCGGCCCCGCCGCCGGGGGTGGGCCCGGACGGGCCGGGGCGGGGACAGAGGCGGGGCTGTGTGGCTCGGAGCGGCTCGGCTCGGCTCGGCTCGGCTCGGCTCGGCACGGCACGGGTCAGCGTGCCCGGCGTGAGCAGCTCGAGCGGAGCGTGGAGCACCCCGAGAGCGCCGCGGGGCTGCCCCGTGCCGGCGAAACGTGGGCGGCCGCTGCTCGCCGCCGGCGGAGGCGGAACGGCTGTGCCCGCGGCAGGGCGCTCCCGGGGAGCATACGCTCGCTGGGTGGTTTATACTTCTTTTTTTCTGTAAGGAAATGCAGTATTGCCCCGTCACGCACACTACGTTTATATACATTGCATACCTGCAGCACTTAAACGCTGAATGCGACCGTTTTCTTCTTTTCGTGGTGTGTGCGGGCGTGGGTGCGCGTGAATGGTTTCAGGATAGTGAATCTCAAGAGCTGATGTTTCAAGCTATCAGCAATCAGTGTAACAATAAGCCACGTGGAGATGGCTTTCTAAAACGCTCAGGTTAGCATCAGTGCTTTCAGCAGCCTCTCGTCTCTCAGGAGACACTGAGTGAAATCACTGATGGCCCATCCTACACACCATAATGTGCTGTGACTGCAAGCAAGCAGCCAGCATAGCACAGGCACTGGGTAGGGATGCCAAACCATCCCCATTAGCAAAGAGGTTCTCCTGTGACAATGGGTAGAAGACGACCTCTTGCATGTGCAGAGCTGGGACTGGAAGAGCTTGGTGTCCCAAGTTTGGGTATGGCTGAGGGAATTATCTACTGTCCACACTGCCCTGGGGGTGAATGTCTCAAGTCAGCAGGGAGCAGAGGGGAAGAGACACCCATGGCCACATCTGCCTGGGTGTATCTGCCTCAGTCAGATCCTTGCTGCTGTTTGGCATGGCCATGTGGTAGCAGTGACATTTCAGCTTTTTCTGCTCTCAGCATGTGACACAGCACTCAGAAAGAGGCTAGCATGAGGCATTTGAGCCTCATCAGGCTATTTAGGTAAAACACACATTGTGCCACTAAAGGGATCATAATCTGATAAAATCTTATTACTGGTCTGAAATGCTATGATAGCTTTTAGATTTTCATCTCAAAAAAGCACTAGTTTTTCAAAGCAAAGCATATGGAGTTAAGCTCCTTATCGGTGTGTGGGGACCACATGATTTTCAGAGATACTGAGCAATTGCAACTAGGTACCAGTGTAGGTCACACTTGAAGCTTGGGCTGCAAGCAGAGCTTGAGAAAAATCATATCCCACAAATGTGAGTTTATGCAAGTCTCCCCTATTCACAGGGCAGCCATTACACAAGTGAATATCAACTTCCAGATGGATAGTGCTGCCTGCCTGGCTTTTATAACTCTAGGCTTGTGTAAATGCAGTAGGAAAATACCATCATCAACAACGTGTTCTTAGAGAAACCAAAAAGAATACAAAAGAGTTTTTGAAAGAGGGGAGTGGCTGGTTTTTAAACATTTGTGTTTGGAGCGGCCTATAATTTGGGTCTACAGCTCTGCATGTCATGTTGGAAGTCTGCTGCTGACGTACTCAGCCACAAAACTTGAAACTTTCTTGTTCAGAGCAAGAACATTTTCATCTTTATAGATTGGTTGATGTTTACAGTTGCTGAGAAAAAAATTGATTAATGTGAAAGAAGGTCAATATTGCTTAAGAGGCTTTTAAAAGTCATATTAAGTATGATACTTGGATATATTCTATGAGATATAAAGCAGGAATACCCAAACTTTCACCAAAATAGGATGTTTTCTGGAGCCAAAAGAACACTGAGGTGTTCCACACTGGACCTAAGCTGACTAGAAAATACCGAGCTTTTTCTTCTCTGCTGTAGCAAATATCAGGTGAACAGATGCTAAAATATTTTCTTTGAGTGTGAGAATCCAAGAGGTCTCAGCTGAAGGACTTTTCTGATACTATCACTAACAGGATATTGTAATCACGGCAGACATTCAAAATCTGGTACCCGCTATTCAAATAACACTTCCACAACACTCTGAAAGTAGAAAATGAAATACTGGTGATTAAAAAGCATGTCCTCAGAGGTTATAATTTCAAAGTTACAATTCTAACATAATGCATAGTGCTTGGTAAGTGTGGGTGGATGAGAAACTGGTAGAACTGCCAGCATTGTCATGAGGCAGTTTTATGTGCCATTGGTTTTTCATTCAGTTTTTAAAGAGAGCGCATTCCTCAGGAAGCCAGAGCAAAAACTGCTGCCAAGAATCTTTTCTGCAGTGATTTTGCTTCATTTGAAAGAAAGAACTAGTTGTTTAAAAGTCAAAGTTGAGCAAAAACGTTTAGGTCTGCTAATATCCTGGGAATGAGCACTGCAGTACAGTGTGGGCAGAATCTCTGCTTTACTCCTGAGTGGCTGGAGGCATGTGAGAGCATTTCTTGGAGACAGAAGTTTCCTCACAAATACTTCTCCATACCACAACGGAACCATTAATGGTTACACCCATAACAAATAAAAGAGTAAATGTGGCAGGAGAAAGACAATCCTTCCTAAAACTTCAGTCTTAGTTTTAGACATACCTTAAGGAATGAATTCAGTGCATAAGAGATTAGGCTTCATGGATGAGGCTTTTTCAGCAGCTGAATCAAAATCACAGTGCAGCATTTCGTCTAAAGCTAATGATTGATCAATAAAGCCAAAGGGAAGATAAAATACTACACTTCTGAAATTTTGTGCTCTTTCAGTGTGATTATGTCTAGATCTCTCTCACAAGAGCATTGTATAAGGTGGCAGGATGAGTAAGGAACAGACAACATGAAATAGGAAACACCAAAGGCAGAGGAACACTTGCATAACCTGCACTTCCATATGTTTCTTTCCCAAAGAGTGGATGTGGGGATCTCTTGTGAATGTAAGCAACATAAGGCTGCATCCACTTCCCATGTGTATATTGTACAGTCCTAATCTGTTTTGCAGCCAAAGAAAATAATACAGAACATATGGACTAATTTTTCAGGAGGCTTAGGCAGTGACCCTTAGGGATTCAAGGCCCTGAGCGTTAATTGCCTTTTCACCTTTACTAACCCTCTATGACAGCACATTTATTCTCTTCCTAAACAATTGATACTTCCCAACAGTGCTGGCCACAAATGTCAGCTTAGATTCATTTCTGTACCTAAGAGGTTCTTCTTCAGGCAAGCTTGCTGTTTAGGAAATTAACTTTAGATTTGTTATCTCCAGTGATAGTCTGAATTCCCATTTTCCTATGTTGTCAAATACTACAATGGCCAAAACCAAGAACTCTTTTGTAATGCTGCTCTCCACAGGTTTTCCTTCCCCAGAGGTTGCTCTAAGGAAGGACTCCTGCAGCTTGTGTCTTCTCCATGGTTTTCCATTGTTTCACAGCAACTTCTCTTATGTTTTTCCATTATTTTTTCTGAACAACTTTGGAAATAATAGTTGCTGGACTTTGAAATAAACCAATATGTATCTTAAAATTTCCTTTTTTTCAGCATTTATTATTTTCCTGAGGCATTTGTCTTTCAGGGATTCGTGTGAATTTAGTTCTAGTGCTTTGTACCTCACATGATGAGGTATTAATGAAGAAATTAAGAGCTGAGTGAAAAACTCATAGCTGGAGATTTTCCGCAACACAGAATTGTTTAAAGCTGCAAAGTACACACCAGTTGGTGATTTTATTTCCTTATTGAAATGCACATTTGCTTTTACATATTCTCAGAATCATAGGAGTCATTTCATGCTTGTATTCCTTGGCTTGTTAACAAAATACTCAAGAGTTGCCAGGAAATCTGCTAGGTGTGTAATGATAGACTCCATTATTTTTGCAAGGCCAGACAGTTTTTGCCTACTGGCTAACTCTGCCTTTCAAAAGCTCTGTGTGGCATCTTTGTGAGCTGTGAGACTTCGCTCCAGGCTCACCAGTGAGATTCACTGTTGCAGGGCTTCTCTTTTGCATGATTATTGGAAACTTCCATCAACCAGATAGTCTGTCTTGTGCCTGGTGACGGCATCTGAGGAACCTGTAGACACTATCCTGAGTTAATTGATGTGTAAGAAAAGTGTATTGAATTAATTGATGTGTAGGAAAAGTGTATTTTTGTGTAAGAAAAGTGTTTCATCTGTGAGGAGCCTTGACATCCCATTCAGCTGGGGGGAGGTATCATCTCTCTGGTGTGGGTGCTGGGGTCATGGTTGAGCATTGCCTTGTCTGGATCAGTGTTGCCATCCTGCTCATCAGTAAGCTTCATCATCACTTCAGGGGGATCCTACCCTACTTCATAAGCCACTGCAGAACTAAGTTTTGCTTTCATCACAGCAGTACCCCATGTGTGTCAGACCGTGTGTAAGTGTCATTTTTGAGTCTCCTATTTGAATTTAGCTTGGGGCTATGAGCTGCTAATGGGCTCTGTGTCTCTAAGTGATTTCCTACTTTGCATGTCCTAATTAATGCCCCTCCCTCTGACTGATAACTTTCTTGTCTTTCCAGATATATTATGATTTTGTTTTCATTTATAATTGCTTTTCATCTGTTTGTAATATTGATGTTCCATACTCCAAAGACTCTGTGTTTGTGTCAATCTATCACTCTCAGCACTGCTGACTTTTTGTTCTTGCTCATCATCCTTTTGATGCTCCAAACCCCTACTTTTTTGGTTTGTTTTGCCTTTATTACAAAGCTCATCACAGTCTGGCTCTTACAAATGTTTGTTACCAAGGGCTGCTTTGTCCTTTGTTCTTCCTTGTGAAGAGAATAGTGGCTCATTGCTCAACCTGCTGCTGTTTTACCTATAGTAAAAACAGTAACTCTATAATATGACTTAGATAAAATAATGGCACAAAGCAAATATTTTTTCTATTGAAGTGTTTGCTCTGGTCCCTTTTGCTTATAATA